CTTATTATTTTCATTACCCCATTTGAATAGTCACTTTATAGGTACTGCTATCTCAAAATTCCCACACTGGTTGGTTTAAAATCAACACATGCCACAGACTGTATATTGTCTACTAACAACAACAAAAAAAGATTAATTTATGGTACAAACTTGATATGCCGTCTGGCTCTTAAAATCATGTACTGTACAAGCTATTTTTTTTTTTCTTTTTCTGGAAAGGCTAGACAGCCGATTTTGTTCCTGCAGGGCTTTTTGGGTAAAACAATACACAGTCTGATCCCTTGATCCATGGGAGCAGTCAGTTTTGGTAAACCTAGGCACCCAGAGGGAAAATGTTATATTCATGTGAAGAGAGTGTGATAGAGAGCAAGAGAGATGAGCGAAGGGATCAGTGTGCAGGATTTCTGTTTGGATTTAACAGATAGAAAGTATCATAGTCAGGGAAAGTCTGCTGTCAGTTTATTGCACTGCACTTTGTAAATTGAAGCACTGACAGTCTGGTATTTATAATTATCACATTATCTCAGTAATAGGCGGAGAGTAGGAGGTCTTTTGTGGTCGTTTGAACACAGCATATGCATATACACTGGAAGCAATGCTTTTTTGACTACCTCTGGAAGCGGTCAAAAGTAGACATGCTCAAAACATTTCAGACCCTATTTACACCTGTATATTTAGCATTGTCCACTTGCAAGAAAACCATGTTTATACAACTTTATTAATAAATCAGTTTATTTATTTATTTTTTTTCATACTCCAAACATCTCAGCTGTTTCTGGATGCACTTAAATTGGCAGAAAGGACATGTTCCTACATGAATCGACAGAACACAGATTATTTGGTTTACATCATAGACTGTAAAAGATATGGATGTAGCATCCATGAGGTCACCCATAGGTTTCTGAAGTACAAATGAAGCTACAAGTAGGCGTGGCCAACCATCACCTTTTTGTTTGCGCGTTATTGCATCAAGTGGGGGTTACCAAAACAGGGCAAAGAGGTTGAGCGTGAGCGGAGCTACAGATACCTGCTAGCATTTTGCTTAGACAGGCTTTACTCTGGGAGAAAAGCTAAATACCTCATTACCTGTGTTTTGATTATGTTCTGACCACATGTGCTTGGTTGTATACTACATCAATAAAAGTGTTTAGTCTTTTAAAAACGTTATATACATAAATATGTACATCGAGCCACTAAGAATTGCTCTTATGATGTTTTTCTACAGGAGGAATACGCAAATTACTTCTAAATACTTCAAACATAGTCGGTGCTAGTAAATGCAAGGCTATTTATGAAATCCAGGCATAACTCTGTATGACAACATTTCAGATGACTGTTCTAGAGCCTACAGATAATCAATCTGTCAGATTCTGGAGTGCATTACAGCTCTAAAGAAAATGACAAATGATCATTTTTAAAAAAGTAAAACAAATACAATTATAGATATGGTTTATAAGTTTATAATTTCACTCACCTGGGAAACTTAACGCATGCCATATTATCCGATAATTGTAAGAAATAATTCCAAAAGACAATTGATTGAGTAAAGCTACATAAAACAAAATAAACATATGATCTATATGACGAGTTTAACTGGTAATCAGCCAGAATCACTAAGGTAACGTGATAGCGAGCAGCGAGACCTAGCTGCCACTCAAGTGGCCACGCCCTTAATTATGCAGACTTATTAAAAATTATGCAGATGAGTACTAAAAAAAGTCACCCCCTCACAGCTGTCATAAATGGTAAAATTAGCTATATACACCAAAACCATCTTTTGTATCAGTCTGTAAACATGTTTTTATCAGCGGTAAAGTTGGAAAATTTAGCATTGCAGTCAGTGGACATCTGGAATTCCTGGAGCCAGCCCCCAAATGCGAGTCGATGAATTGCAGTTTCAGTTACTTCCATAATGGCTACACAAGGGAAAGTGGGATGTTGCCGCTTAGTTTACTTTTTGCGCAAAATCAGTGTAAAAAGCAAAAAGCTGTCATGATTGGTTTATACTTATTCTACCATTTAAAACTAGGAGGCAACATGGTAGCTCAGTGGTTAGCACTGTCGCCTCACAGCAAGAGGGTGGCTAGTTCGAGTCCCGGCTGGGTCAGTTGGCATTTCTGTGTGGAGTTTGCTTGTTCTTCCTGTGTTGGTGTGGGTGCTCCAGTGTCACAGTGCTCCAGGGCACAGTCCAAAGACATGCGGTACAGATGAATTGAATAAACTAAACTGGCCATAGTGTGTGTGTATGTGTGTGTGAAAGAGTGTGTATGGGTGTTTCCCAGTACTGTGTTGCAGCTAGAAGGCATCTGCTGTGTAAAACATATCCTGGAATAGTTGGCGGATCATTCCGCTGTGGCGACCCCTGATAAATTAAGGGACTAAGCTGAAGGAAAATGAATAATTGAATGATGAAAACTAGGGCTGCAACTAATTATTTTGCTAATTGAGTAATTGTATGATTATTTTTTCTATTAATCAGATAAAATAATGATGCTGTTTTTATTTGACACTTTGCTTATTATAACCATATAAAACTATACATAATAGTATCATTTATGTGTCAAAAAGTATATTTTTAAAAATGCTAAAGCCACATACCGAGTTTAATAATCTTTCATTTTGACATTTTCAACCCTAAAATAAAAAGCAAAGATTGTTTTTGAACGCTAAAATTTCTATAAATATCCCAAAAATAAATAAACAAAAAGCAAAACAAGTCTTATTGTATTCACATAACTATGATATTCAGATTATGCTCATAAAAATATATAATCATGCTGACAATAAGATATTAAGCAGCAGAATTGGTTGAATGGCTACCGTTGGCAAGAAATTACAAAAGTGCTTTTTTTTTTTTCTTCCTCCTCCCTCATTTGTCTTCTCTGAGGACGGTCTTGCTCCTTTGTGTCCAGGTCATGACAGAGACATAAAGCCATTATAAGGCTAACAAGAGGTGAACAGCAGGAAGACTCTATTTAAGATATCACACAGAGCTTTCTCTGTTACTATGACGACACAGACTTAATGAGGACGAATGCTTTTCTTCTAAGGAGCTGCGCAATTTGTTTACATTTTATTGCCATGTCTGGTTGAAAGGAACATGAAACAAAATGTATGGCTCATTTAATATTTGTAAAATGACTTTTTTTGTGGCACAGACTGTTCAGTGGGAAATGGAATTTACCTTTATATGGATTCATTGGATTGTGGATGTTAATATTTATCCTTGTCTATTACATGTACAAGTAGGTTCAGAGGTGGGGTAGATTCCATGTTGAAGGAAGACTATAAAACAAACACTTAAAAAATATGTAAATAAATTATGCAAAGGAATGTACATTAATGCCAAACTATAAATCTGATTTATGTAAATATGGCAAACTTGAAAATGATGTCTCTCTATTTGTTGCAAAATGTGCAATATTTGATGCAAAACAGCTGTTAATTGTTGATCGTATCGGGTGTTTTCCATTTATTTGTGCATTCATGTTGCATTGGGAGACCTGGATTTCTGCTTCAACAATATTAGAGATTGAACATCTAAACTTTGCATATTGCCAAAGTCAATTCTTTGATTTAAAGTTTTAGTAGTTTGAAACAAAATATTGACTAAGAAGACAAACTCAAATGTAAGAAGAGAATTTAAGTGGAAAATCATTACAAGATATTTCCGTACTCCACAAATTGTAGCAAAGATAAGAATAGGCTCATCTAACAGATGTTGGAGAGAATGTGGTGATCAGTTAGGGAACCACTCTCATATCATTGGGTATTGCCCAAAGCTGCAGCAGTTCTGGGATGATATCTATAAGGTGCTTGGAGATATATTTTGTATTGATAATCCCTTTGATCCAACCGTGGCAATCCTGTATGGTATAGAGATTGGGGAAAGAAGAGTTATTTATTTGTATTAATTAATTTATTAATTTTATTTAAAAATATTTGAAGCAAGATGGAACCCAATTCTAACAATTATACATAACTAACTTTAAACATACAACTTAGATTTAGTAAACAGCCACATTGTATACACGATAAGTATATCATGTACATCTCCCAACTCTTCCCCTTTATATTTATTTATTTATTGATTTATTGATTTGTTTATTTATTTATTTATTTATTTTTATTTATTCATTTATTTTTATGTTTTTACCTTCAACACCATATATATTGTTTTAAAATAACACTGTACAAATGTCTTTCCCTTTTTCTCCCTAATCTTTTCAGTACCCATCTGTATCCTTATTGACTATTTCTAATGTATCTCTGATTTTGTTACGTTCTAAAAAAAAAAAAAAAAAGAGTTAAAAAAATTATATTGACAAAGCATCATATATATTTGGAAATAATTGGATACAATAAATAAAAATGGAAAAAGTTTTGGCAGCTCATTGACAGACTTTTGTATGATTAGCATAACCAACCCAAATAATATATTGTTTCAAATGACAAAAAAATTCATTAAACATTTAAACCTTTCAATATCAGGAGTTATCAGGACGTCAATCAGGGTCCTGCAATTGAAAAACCATAAATAAAGAGAAAACCTCATGAACACAGTAATTAACATATATTTATTAATACAGTTTAGTGTAGCTTTAAGTGGATGTGATCTATTGTTTTTGATAAACATGTAATACATGCTAAAAGCTTTTACCTGACTCACTTGCTTATTTATATAGAGGGCCAGCTTTGACAGCTCATGCCTCGGGCTTTACTCCTTTAATAAAGACAGCAGACTGGAAGAAACCCATGGCTGCAGTCCAAAACATGTTTAAAAATCAAACATGCCTCAGAATTTTAAAATCGCACTAAAATATGTTGTTCAAAGCATAAAGCACAGGTTTTATCATTTGCTCCGGCCTTGACAAGTCAGTATAAAAGATGGAGAGAGGGAAATTGAATGCGCTTTTTGGGATATACTGTATCAGTATCGAGATTAAGTGGAGTATGAAAGTGAAACACAGATTAATGTCTTTGTGTTTTGTGTCTTTCAGTCACAGATGAGGACACCGTCAAACGATACTATGCCAAGTTTGAAGAGAAGTTCTTTCAGACGTGCGAAAAGGAGCTTTCCAAGATCAACACATTCTATTCAGGTACTGTTTTATCTGCTTATATATAAACAATAATAATATTGTAAAAAAATCAACATATGCTTATTCTGAAAAGCGTAGCCCTATACACATTTCTGGAGATCACGAATTATGTAGCCAGAGAAACGTACGGCTGCATTTAGTTTTTAAAATGACAGCTACGGCCGTTCTATTTCACGCTTACCAGCTGACTGCTTAAAACAGAAGCAAAAAAAAAATAAAACAAACAAGTAAATAACAGGGTGAGAATGTCGTTAAATCTGAAAACGTGGTAAAAATCAGGCGAGTGCTTTTTTTTTCTGGATTGCTTTTCAAAACACTTTTGATTGGGTTTAGGGAAGGGGTGAGCAGGTCAATCAGTGCTTACTAAAACACTACCGGTTGGGTTTAGGAAAGGGGATGAGTTGGGGTTCGGCCGGTCGGTCAGTCAGTCAGTCAGTCAGTCAGTTAGTCAGTCGGCCTCAGGTAAATTTAGACAAGAACAGCAAGCACGAATTGCACTTGCGAGAGAAATTTGATATCTCAAAAAGTGTACACAGTGGATTTGTGAAAACAAAAACTGCAAAAAGATAAAAATAAAAAACGGAGCTCCTGGGACCTATTATGCACTCTTTAGAAATGTGTATAGGGGTACATCTTTAGAATGAGCCTGGGTTGGAAAAAAACATTGGTTTTCTATTTTAATAGGCAGCTATTTATTTACTTATTTATTTAGGTTTGAATTACAATAAAATTATCATATGTTTTACTTTCACAAGTCTTGTATCATTATGACAGTTCCTTTAAATTGTACTTTTATTTACCTGCTGTCTCACAGAGCATTAACTAATGTTAACAAGCATGAATTTGGATGTTTAGATGTAATAACGTATTAGTAAATGTTGAACTATGATTAATAAATGCTGTACAAGTATTGTTCATTATTAATTCATGTTAGTAAGTGCATTAACTAACATGATCTAATAAAACCTTATTGTAAAGTTTGAAGTTAAAGTTTTAAAAAACTAATACATTTGTGGAACTTTTTTTTACAATTTTTTTCGGATGAATATACATTTATTCTTTAATTATAATTATTTTTAAACAAATGTAAAATGCTTTACTAAATGCTTGATCGATTTAAAGCATTTCTCCTTAATTAAAAATAACTTTTTTTAAATGATTGTTATAGTTTTGAAGATTTCTATTTTTTATATTTAGAAAGACTAGAAAGATTTTTTAAATATATGTATTTTATTGTTTGTTTATTTGTTTGTTTGTTTGTTTGTTTTTTTGTTGGTTTGCTAACTAACATGATTTTTTTTAGCATTAACTGTCATAAAAGTTTTCCAGAACCCATAAATGGCACATACCGACAGCTAAGCTTCACTGTGTGCTTGAACTGCAATGGCCTGCTAAATGCTGTCAAGGGATTCCCTGTGCATGAGGTCTGGGTGTACAGCGCTATTTGGGAACGTGATGTAATAAGCAGTGCCTGCCATAGTCATTCTGACATGTGTCAAGGGGAATAGACTATGTTTGGACTCATAATATATGCACACTGCAACATAAGCTGTGTTGTTGCACGGGCTTCAGGACGGCCAGAATGAATGAGCTCTACTGCCTCTAGTGGCTGTTCAGCGGAGGAAACAACAGACATGTTTTGAAAGCTCCACACTGATGCTTTGTTCGCATATTGACACATTGTTTGCATGTGTCATAAACATTAATATATGAATGCTAGATATTAAAACCTCACAATGAGTCTTGACAGCATGATCAGCGTTTATTTTGAAACAAAGAAGCAGATGCTCATTAATAATTGAACACAAAAGCATTAACAAGGACACAAACTGCCTTTTAAATATATTTCTTACAGTTCTCTAGGGTGCACTCATAATGTTGTTAAGAAAAAAAAATGTAGAAGTAAAAGGCTATTTTCTGTCCTCTTTTGACCCCTTCTTCAAAACACACTCTTTGAATAGACATGGTTGATTGTAGACTTGGAAGTAAACACCCACTGCTATGGTTAGGTAACAGTTTACATATTTCATTAGGATAGCTGTGTGCCCATCGGTGTAAACTTCTGCCTGTATTTTTGACACCTGGCATCCTTTATAGGACTGCTGTGAATTGCATTAAACACTCAGACTATTTGTTTATCAATTAATCTGTAACAGCTATAACAGACAAAGCAGAAATAAGAACAATTATTTACAATTATGTGGTGCGAAATTACTGTCAAATCAAATATAGTCAGCACCAGTGTTACTTTTGAAATGCAGTAACGCACCAGTAACTTTTAAAAGTAATGCATTGCAAGCAATATTGGGTTACTCTCCAAAATACTAGTTTGCTTTACCTAGTTAATTTTCGTGAAAAAGTAATGCATTGCGTTACTTTTAAGTTACTTTTTCTTACCTGGCTGAGGCTTGATTTCTTTCAGAAATTTTAAATAATAATCAAATTTGAAGAATAATTTTAAAAGAGGAGCTCTGCAATTAAAAAGGCAGCAAATAACCTACACCTTCATTTACGTTTAAAAATGCACAACAATTTATCATTTAGGACATACTGTAGGTGTTAAATCCAGTTTTTGGAAGGCCACAGCTCTGCACAGTTTAGGTCCGACCCTAATTAAGCACACCTGCTCAAACTAATTCAGTCCTTTAGTTTGAAACCTACAGGTAACCTAGATTGGACCTAAACTGTGCAGAGCTGCGGTCATCCAGGAACTGGATTTGACACCTGCGATTTAGGACAATGTCATCTTCAAAGAACTTCCTGACCCCAGAGCTATACATGCTGTATATACAGATTAATCAAAGTTTAAAGAAATGTGTTTGCTACTTTTGTGCTTTTTGCCTTATTAGATAAGTAAAGTAAAATCACTGTTCATTGAGACAATTCCCTTTTGCTTTTTTAATGCATTTAAAATAATAAGAATACTTCCTCTGGCCTGCCATCTTCATTTCTGTCTGTTCCCACAGGGAGAGCATTTTCTCATTGCGTGTGGGATTCAGTGTGGCTACGTTCATTTGAATTCAGCAATTTATTTTTTTAAACTAATTAATTCAACTAAAAAGTATCTCTCTTTACATTTTTAAAAAAAAGTAACTCAAACATTATTACTTATTTTTTTTTAATGCATTACTTGTTACTTAGAAAAGTAATATTATTACAGAACTCAAGTAACTTGTAATCGGTTGCCCCCAACACTGGTCAGCACCTCATTAACTTTTAGCTTGTCTTAATGAAAATCAAGCATCTAATTGTACACTGGTTGTATACAATTCAGATGAGCAAGTTGGCAGATGGGCAATGTCATTAAAAAATAAAGTTAACCCACTATTTTCTAATTGTGATCAGAAAGAAGGAAATGCTGATATTATTTGAGCTTGGTTTTGCACTGTGTCTTATATTCGGAGCATCTTTATTGTTGATATTTTTTGGTTATTTACCTATAGTAGTGTGAATCAATGGGTCGTAGTTAGCAATGTAGATCTTCTGTGAAGGAGGAGTTTAGTCACAATATAGGTTGTTTTCACATGACGTCACTAATGACCCACAAAATTCAGATGGAGTGCAGGAAGTGATTCTTCTACATAGGAATCGTTATCAGAACACCAAAATGATTCTGTTTTATGATGTCTATAAATGTTTAAATCATCCAAAATAAGAAATGTCGAATGGCTTTTATAGACTTCCAAACGATTTTGCTCATAAACAGAGGAAAGTTAAAGAAACGGTCTGAAAAACGGAAGAAAGGCAACATGTAATAAAGATTTGTTCAATAAATCCATGTGTACAAACTTTTTTGAACACAATAATTAGTTTGACAGCACTGATAAAGATTATATACTGGCCTAGCTTTGTGTATAAATATGTTAATGTGTTTTATAAATATCAGATACAAACACCACCACACTCCAGGAGAATATAAATAACATACCCTGCCATGTCATGGCTGTAATAAAATCTCGGTCTTGTTTTGCAATAATCCATTTCTTTACTCGCGTTTTGTTGGAATAAACAACCGTAACTTTGACATTGAGGTGTTAATAATTGTTGATGGTAAGTTCATCGATAGAACAAAAAAGAAATGCAACAAAACTATATGGTTACTATTGAGGAGCACTTTTCCCCCGTACAAAAATAAATAAACAATAATGTACTGTAGACTATGCGTTTACACGTTTGTATGCTTTCATCTGTTATTTTATGATGCCTGGGGATTACATGAGGGAAAAACAATAGTAATTTATAATAAACATGTTTTTGAACCACATAGTAAAGTGGATAATGTGTACAACTCTTTGTTAATGAATGCTACATAATACTCTTGCATAGTAAACTGAAAAACTGTAATAAATAACATTAGTGTAAACTGTGGTGCACTGTGATTATAGAAAACTGAAGCCTGTTGAATAATTTGTTTATTACTACAGTTGTGTTTTACCACAGCAACAAGTTAATTAATAGGAGAGTTTATTTCAAGTAATTATCTATAACATGCTTCCAAACACTAAAGTAATTATCTATAGTATCCTTTCATGTAACGTAGCTTATACAGTATCTATCACCTTGATGACAGGCAAATATGTTTTAGTTTAGTTGAAAACTCTGCCCTCTTCATGATATAAGGATCATGTCCAACATATGTGCTTATTTTCTGTTTATTTCTCCTTTGAAATATGGTATAATTCGCAAAAATACAGACTTTCCTCAGTGTCTCCCATTTAGTTTTTTTACTTCCTGCCCTCCATCTGAATTTCGCGCGTGATTGAACCACGTGATTGCATCATAAAGGTACACAATGATACCAATATGTAATTTTTGCTATAAAAAAAGAAAAGCTTACAAGATGTTTTTATCATACAATGACCTTTCATATGTCCTTATGGAATTTCTTGACAGTTCTTGACCCCTTTAATTCAGTTTATGATATGGTTTAATCTTTTTATCCTGCAGTTGTCACTGAAAATCATTCAGTCCCTCTGTGATGCAAGTTTAACAGACAGACC